TACCTAGCAACGACTGCTTCTCTGCCTCCACAGTTTTTGCTTTGAGCAAACATGCAGCAATTTAAGGTCGAATGTTGGGATAGTATAGGTGAACGATGATTTGGAAGGATTCCATCGTGGCCGAATGGAGGAACTCTTCCAGGAATCTGCCTGGAAAGACGGGGGAATACCCCGGTCGGAAAAGCTGGTGTCCCGGGTACGAGTTCTGATCGTCAGCGCTGCGCTAGCCCGCCCGGCCGCTAGTGGCCGAATGCATCGCTATAGGCGCCGTACGTGCTGGAGGTAACACCAAATTGACGTGCAGTTTCTTTCCTGTGGGTAGAGCTGGGTTGCGAGCATCGCAGGGGCAAGCGACCGCCTGATAGAAGGTTTCGAACTCGTCGAATTAATATCAATTTATTTATTTGAAGATGGGGCCGTCATACCTTGTGCAGGCAACCTCACTTCAGATAAGTCCCATCTGTGTTAATTAGTGCCGTGAAGCTGCGTCCTTGAGCAGATAATAGTATTCAGTTAACCCCTAAATTTATGGACGAAGGTTCGTTACCGTGGTCAAAGATCGCGGTATTGGTTCCTGTCCTGAGCCAGGTGAATGCAGTGCACAATCTCCCATCTGCCCCTAGGTCTTGCCAGTGTCTTGTTTCCGTCAAGTGGTCCTGTCTCTCGTTTGCACTGTTTGCCCTGGTTGCAGCAGCTGTCTGAAATATAATCTAGCGCCTTCCTAACGATGACATAATTGTCCACGTCACTAACCGATAATGACACGCCCTCATTTATACAGTGCCGCGGCTTGAACCCGGGCCGCCGCTGTGGGAAGCCGGCGACTCACCGCCTGAGCTGTGGCACGGCCAATCTAGCCTCACACAGCTGGCTGGGCAGACACGTATACGATGTGTGTACATGTATGTATGGGGGTAGTTCGTACAGATGTAGGGAACAGAATAATAATACAGTAAACCGTCGCCAACCCGGAGTTATTGGGGGGGGACGATAAGTCATCCGGATTAGTGAAGCAAAAGGTGGCCTAAAATGTTAAAAAAAATTAGAACACAAATAAAGGGAAAGTTAATGATAGAAGTATCGCTGATGAAAATAAATAACAAAATATCACTGTAGAGCCCTTATTTAGGAACTGTACAATGACAGTACGTGTATCCACCGACAGAAGACTCAGAAGCTGTACTTGTTTCTGAACGTAATGATGCAGGTCTGAAGAAACCGTCAAGTTTTGTCTGAACAGACAAGTGGCTCATTTGCCTCCCTAAATGCCGAGTGCGCACTGAACTGTGAAGAGCGCGCTGTTGCGCAAAGTGCGCTCAGTTCGTGCGGAAAGACGGCGCATTTCCGATCTGCGTGATGTAATACGGTGAGGACGGTGCAACGTCTGAACTCGGTCGTTTTGACCTCGATCTGAGCCGAAAGTTTCCACTGCTCGCTGCTCATACGAATTCCAACGTTTCGTGAGGCATGAGGCTGCCGTGACGTCACTGGCTGTTACTCTGTTATGTTGCCGATACAACAATGAAATGGCGGACTGCTCTGATGCCGACGCTTCCCGCTTCATTGTTGTCTTGTGATGTGTCACGACAGTCACATGACGGTAACGATGACGAATTGGACCCGTCAAATCACATGACTGACATGATTCAGCAATTTCATATCAATTGGTCACTGGATTCAGTTTGTTTTGTAATTGCTGTGAGCGTTTTGTTGAGTCAAATGTTTCGTTTGTCAGATTGCGAGAACAAGGGACGAAGCTGAACTCCTCTGAAGCCATTATCAAATGTTAATGAACGTGAAGGTTATTGTATACGGTTCGCATCAGATAATTATACAGGATGTTTCAGTTCCTGACACGTTCCTTGTTCCGTTGCTACAGCAACGCGTCCAGAATTAACACAGTGTCACGTGTCCGGGGCTCCGTGACTATCAATAGCGGGTTCTGGATTGGATGATTGATTTTATTGACACTCATATCTTTGCATAGTTCGGGACTACAGGCAGTTATAGCGCTGTCGCTATTCTACACACTTTCAGTTCAGCTTTGCATACGAAATAGTATTCTCAGTCTTCACTAGTCTTATCTTGGCAACGGATTTATCATAGTCTCACTTCAACTCACACATGGCGTCTTCTTGACACAGTCGAATTCCTTTCTTGCCATTTCCTGGAGCTGCCAATTCGAAGATTCGACCCAATTCTCTTCCGAGTACTGTTCTGTGCTCTACAGCTTCTGAACTCCCAATTCTCTTCCGACTGCTGTTCTGTGCTCTACAGCTTCTGAACTCCCAATTCTCTTCCGGCTGCTGTTCTGTGCTCCACAGCTTCTGAACTCCCAATTCTCTTCCGACTGCTGTTCTGTGCTCTACAGCTTCTGAACTCCCAATTCCGAAAATTCGACCCAATTCTCTTCCGACTACTGTTCTGTGCTCTACAGCGTCTGAACTCCCAATTCCAATTCTCCAGTCTCTCTTGTTCCTTCAAACTGGCTCCCTTATATAGACGCGGCACAGACCTACAGAAAACACGCGCCACACTGCTTCCTGTATTGTTGCGAAGGTATGTTTACCGTGCCGTTGTCTAGCAATTGGCATCCACGTTACAATAGCAATGTTGACGGGTCGTCCAGCGTCAATTTTCGGGAAACTGAGTTTGAAGTTAGGGACCAGCTGCTGTTTCAATGTGACTTGCAAGAAGATACAAGTACGTTCTGAAATCTCATGCTTGCATTTCGGGTAATCCTGTGGAATTGCTCGGGGATAGTGCAACGCCATACGGAAGAGGCAGATAAGTGTACAGTCTCATTTTCGCACACAGGTGGACACGAGTAGAACACTCCAACGCTCGGGTGACTAGTGACATCTGTTGTCGGTGCCCACGAACTGCATGAAGGCTTCAATCATGCTCTTAGAACGTGAATTGGGCGAATTATCGCGGCACCCCCCCNTCTTGTGAGCACGGAATGTTGCGATTTTCTGGCCCCCCCCCCCCCCCCCCCCGTTTATTCTTTTTATGTTGTTATGACATTTGATGAGCAAGAAAATAAAACGGGGAATTCTTATGATGGAAGAGAGGCGATTTTAAATTGAAGTTCTGTATTTAGAAACATCCCGGATGTCAAGGTTTTCTTTTAATTTTATATGTAACTAATGAAGTTAAGTCTTTCGCTTATAACGTTCGTTATTAAATTTCTGAAGCACGTGGTAAGTACATATACCACTTGTTTACCTCTCTGTATTCTTCCCACGCAGTGTATTTACTGTATGTCTTATTTGATTCCCAGAATGACAGCGGCCATTTCCCCAAAGGACACGAACCAGTTTGTCTTAGTATTGAAAACGCAGTGCTTTCTGCGATGCGAGAATTGTGCACTTAAATGTAAGTTATTTCAGTTGAGCTTGGGGCTCCAAACTGTACACAAATGCAGAGGCAGCTTCTGTTAAAGAGCTACACTTGATTGTCGAGTCCAAGGCCCCTTCCGTTCGTCGAAGCCGGGTCCCATAAGAACTGACGTAAGCAGCCGGAACTGATTGCCCAAGCCTTTAAACAGAGCAGCTTTAACCGGTTATGTTCTTACACTTATTGTTTTTCTGCACGTTACCCATGTCCCGTTTTTTTATCAAAAACACGCAATGTTTCGGAGATTGGATCCTGTCTCCGTCTTGAGGTAGAACCTACTCGGTTGGGCCCAGAGCTAGTCCCTACTCCGGACACCTGCACCAACACAAGACAGGATACATATACCAAACACAGCACAAACCGCCTGCGAGAGTGAAGACAAACATTTAAACAGAACTGTGTACACATAGTATATGAAGCCTCGGACCACGCGGTGGCGTAGTTGGTTGAGGTACTGTGCTACAAGCCGGAAGGTCGTTTGTTCGATTCCCGATGATGTCATAGGAATTTTCAATTGGCCTAATCCTTCCAGCCGCACTGTGGCCCTGGGCTAGACTCTGCCTCTAACAGAAATGAGTATCAGGAATCTTCCTGGGTGTAATGGGCGGCCGGCGCGTTAGGCTGACGGCCTCACCGCCATCTGTGAGCGGATTGTCTAGAAAATGTGGAAGTCTCGACGTCTCACAGCTCTATGGGCCTCTAGGGCCTGTTACAGGGATAGCTTTACCTTCTGTCTTTACACACATGAGCCCTAGCACCTATGTCCGTGCACTGTTTCGTGGCTGCTGCTGTTAAAATCAGAGTGAATGGAAAGAGGTGCTAGGCCTCACGCGTGGAGCGTCTTTATAGTTTCTAACGTCTGTCATTGCCTTGAGAGGAAACAGTTACCTGCTATGCTCTGAAAACAAAATGTATTTTACAAGTAAAACAGATATCTCAACAAATTGTATAAATCTTACAAACTTAATAACGACTGCACAGAGACACGACAAGTGCGCGTCACATGCTCGACGTACATAACACTGCCGCATTTGCCCTGTAGGTTACTTCGTTGGTTGATGTTCCATATCCCACGTGACGTCTCCCCCTGTTTCAGTCACTGTCTCACAACGTGCGTCAGAGGAAGCTTGTGGCAGCGATCTCCCTGTGGTCGCGCAGTCCACACTTACTGAGCCATCAGATGCTTGGCAGTGTTACCATGTCCAAATCCGCGTAATTATAAAATTTAATTCTGTCTCGGGACAAGCGCAGAAGGAATCTGAAAGTTATCATCATCTGGGAAGTTACGCCTTCCTGTCTGGTATTGTCGTATAGCAACGTTAAGAAGGAAGCTCTTGCCTATACCACCTTCAGGACAGGAGAGTGAGACGCGGGGCCAGGGAAGACAGTAGGAAATACAAGGAGGATGTTGGAAATGAGGAAAGCAGTCTTCTGGGATTTGGCACCGTGTATATGTGGTGTTAACCGACGTTTCGGAGAAACGTATCGCCTCCATCAGAACCGGCTGGTTCTCACGGTCTCTTCGCTTGCGGAATTCTTATATTTTTCTTTCTACCCTGAAGATGGTGGCGATACGTTCCTCCGAAACGTCGGTTAACACCACATATATACGGTGCCAAATCCCAGAAGACTGCTTTCTTCATAGTCAATGCCGTGAAAGCCTCAAAACTTACGATGTTCGAAATGTTTTGGCCCCGCCCTCTTAGGGACCACAAGCTCCTATTGGCCAGCTCATGGCCTTGTTTTCTTTCCGTCGTTACCCTCGTCTTTCCTCGCAGTCTGTTCTTCTACCTTGAAGAAGGAGGCATCGAGTTCCTCAGAAACGTTAGTATCTTTGTACCACTTTCCAGACAATAATACCTTCACATTCGCCGCCTTGAGAAGTTCGGACCTGACGGGGGCTCAAACCGCTGAGGATGTGAATATGGTGAATATGAATGGTGTTGGAGCGCAAGCAGTTGTTACAGGCAATGGGGGCCAGTGTAACTGCCTGCAATGTGGACTGTATAAGCAGCATTGCAACTGGTCAGTACTTTGGTTGGTAACCGTCGCCTAAGTAAGGTTATCAGAAATATTTAAAATAATTTTGTTTTTTACGGCGCCCTTTTACCGAATGTCTCACTGAACTTCTCCCCGAAAGACCGAAAGCTTGTTCCGAGCCCCTCAGTCGCCTAGCAGCCAAATGTCGAGGGGCAGATGGCTCAACATGTTGTTCATGATGTCCTTGAAGGCGACGCTGAAGCTCTCCCCCAGGGGCTCCTTCAGCTCCCTCACGATCTCCAGCGCGTTCTTGTTCACGAAGGCGTTCATAGTTCGGCCTGAAACAGGGCATGGCCGGAGTTCAGCGCTGAACTGCACTCTCATACGAGTATAGCATAGATATCGCTACTTTGGAAAGTTCCGGAGTGAGCAGCGTGAAGATATCCAGGCGCTACACGAGACATTCCGTTCGTAGCATAGAAATCGTTAAAAGTCAGTTCATTTAAATACCCACCACATTTTTATCGAATCCATTTCCGTGATGTACGTGTATATTGCCAGGGCTGATTGCTGTGAATGACCCACCTGCACTTAATCACAATAAATTGAACATAATATTTTTGTCATAAGTGGATTTGGTCATGCACAAGAATCAACCTTGGTCCTTCGGACTGTGGATTTGCCGTTTCTTCACTGACAGCCGAATCTAAAGTAATTTCTGTACTTAAATACTCACCAAGCATTGAAGACGTAGGGGACAGTGGAGGTATAGTCTCCACACATTCTTAATCTCGGTATTAGACTGAAATGAGTTGTCAGCTTCACCCTTCGCCTGCTTTGCTTCCAGTTATCACTGGTTAGGTGTTTTTTTTTATTGCTAGTGGGGTGGCACTAAGCCCCTTGTACTGCGGCCAATTTTGGCCTATTGTACCAGCCCCAGATGATAGGCGAGGGTGATTATGGAGCAATTGGTGGAATGAAGATTGGCAGAGGAAACCGAAATACTCGGAGAAAACCTGCCCCAGCGCCACTTTGTCCACCACAAATCCCACTTGACCAGACCCTGGATCGAACCCTGGCCGCCGCGGTGGGAAGCCAGCGACTAATCGCTTGAGCTATGGCGCCGCCTGGTTAGGAGGTTGGGTGGCCACCAGAGCCGATTCGAGTGGTCTGACAAAGACAGAACTCTCTACCCTTGTAGGGACCCGATCTCCGATCATCCGACCCCTAATGTAATTACTCCGCTGATTGAATCATCCCTGGCCCTCATTCATATGCTGACATACGGACTTGCTATCATCATTTCAGGAGGTGATTTTTGAGGCCATTCTGAGTGAACAACCTTATAATGACACGGACAATATTTTCAACGCGTTCGGAGCCCTTAGTATTTGACTTGAAGAAGTCTCTTATCCGACAACACTTTTTTGGGGGGAGGGACAGTGTACAAGCAATTGTACAAAGTGTCCGCTGTCAGCTTGGACACTGAGACCTCGGTTCATTCCCCTGCCGATCGTCTGAACACACGAGAGAGCTGGAGCGTTGCTGACATGTCTTGCGGCACCGACAACTCGCTGAAGTAGCTCATCTCTTGTGGCTACCGCGAGTTGTCATGTGGCTCTCCATAAGCGGTGATGTAAGGGACGGCAACCGCTGATCCACCGGCCAGCAACTGACCACTCCGATGTCCGCAGCTGCGAACCCGCTGAGGATATGAACCGTGTTGAGACAATGTTCTCCTCAGGGAGTCATTGCGCAGAATCGGGGAACATGGTGTGTTCAGAGCACGTTACATACATGGACTTCTGGTTCTGATGTGCGTCCGGCGTCACGTGCATCGGTGCTGCGCAGAGGACACTCACCTAACACCTTGTTCCCGTTGAAGAGGTTGTCGAACTGGACGGTCATGCCCTGGATGTCGAAGTCCACCTTCATGTCCACTACATTCATCACTTGACGTCCTTGCACGCGAGGGAGCTCGAAGCGCATCGAGACGCTGGTCGTCACGTTTTCTGAAAATGAGTTACCGCCAGTTACTATCCCAGCATTCGGACGGGCGAATCTTTCCACGCATGCGCATTATAGAACATGGATGGTCCTCGCCATGAACTCGGGCGTCAGCAGTGACAAACTGTTGAAGCCCGATGTAACAGACTCGTGGAGAAGCTGATAGTCGGCAAACTAAATTTCAAACCTTTTGAGCCGGAAGGTTCATCTCCGTGTCCACGAGAGCCTGCCGTCCGTCCATACCTTACAAGTTTAAATCCTGCTGCCTTACTGTCATCCTTCCCTCTACGTCTGTCTCAACCAAGTGATCTCTTTCCTTCAGAGTGTGGAATCTTTTCCTATTCGTGCTACACGCCGCGCCTCCTGCAGTATTATTTTTTTTATTGCTAGTGGGGTGGGACTAAGTCCCTTGTACTGCGGCCACTTCTGGCCTATTGTACCAACCCCAGAGTGATTGTGAAGCAATTGGTGGAATGAAGTTGGGCAGGGGAAACCGAAGTACTCGGAGAAAAGCTGCCCCAGCGCCACTTTGTCCACCACAAATCCCACTTGACCAGACCCGGGATCGAACCCGGGCCGCGGCTAGCCTCCGGCAGTAAGTGTAGTACTTGTAGGGCTGCATTCGAGCAGTAGAAATGCCAGTAATGTTGCTGGTCTGCGGGCCGCAGTTTGAGTGCATACTTTCAGGGAACTTGCTACCTTTCGGCTCCGACTGTATATCATCCCGTCCGACCTAAACACGTAAAATTAAATGTACAGAAGTATTGTTTTCCCTCCTGCCTTACATGGGTATGAAACTTGATCTCTTACATTAACGGAACAACATAGACACGCTGAGGACAATATTTGGACCTCTGGGGGGGGGGGAAGTGACAGGAGGATGGAGAAAGTTACATAATGAGGAGCTCCTTCTTAATTTATACTTTTCACAAAATTTATTAGGATGCAAGTCAAGGAGGATGAGATGGACAGGGCATGTAGCACGAATGGGAGAAGAGAAATGCATATAGAATATTGGTGGGAAAGCCAGAAGGAAGGAGCCGTAATGAACTGGCCAGCATACAAGATGGGAAGGCTCCCGAGTAGTTGAGGGACCATTAGCTTCACAAGGACACGTTTCCGCGGCAACGATAGTACACACAGTAATGGAAGGGACGTTTTCTGTGCGATCTTTGCTGGGGCTGTTACGAGGACTAAGAAGTTGTGAGAAGTGAGAAGCCGGTGCTCAGGCCGGGGACAGTTCGGGAACCCCACAGGAAGGGGAATGTTCGCCGTTGGAAGCCGCTACCCAGCAACGGTTAGTGAAGACCGAGAAGTCTTTATGTGTGCTGTAGTTACCGTTATCTTTATAATGTGCAAGTCATTGAGATTGTCATGTTTATTTTGTGTTGTTACATTCCGTAAGAGTCTAGTGCATCGGTTTGCCAATTCAGGCTCCGTTTATGCTCATTCTATCACGTGACATTGTTATTGTTGTTATTATTATGTTTTGTTTACAGCGTGCCAGTAAGGGCTAAGTGCGGAGCGGCAGGCTGTTGATATATTTGTTTGTTTGTTTATGTTCAGCCAGGGTTTCTGTAACGACACTGTGGGTGGCGCGAGTATTGGCGTCGGATGGGAAGCTGGTCAATGAATGGTGAATTGGGGGTGGGGTGGGGGTGCAGTTAAAATATGTAATCTTTCTGAATTTCTGTTCTGTTGATAGACCCTTCGCGTTATACTCACTGAGATGCACCTTGGCCGGGCCGTTGCCTAGCAGCGGCAAGATGAGCACTTTCCCCTGAAGGTTATACTCCGCCTCGATGCGGATGTCTGGCAGGTAGACTCCCAGCTCGAACAGACGGTTCTTCATGTCCAGGCTGCACCAATAAGAACGGCAATATAAGTGACATGTGTCACACTAAAGAGACGTCGTTTCGGGAGGTGACAGTAGACCCCCTAGCCCCTTTTCCTGCTATTGCAGCAATGCTGAACTTGTAGGTTATAATGAACTGTGAAACCTGAAGAGGTAAATTTATCCTTGGGCTTAATTAAGCACCACGGCGTGGAGATGTATGAGGGAGTGGAGGTATAGATCCACCATACTTGACCTTGGCATAAGCTGGGGCTGAGCTGTCAGCTTCACGCTCTTGCCGCTTCACTATTGGCGAAAGAGCTCCTCGTATCCATCGGATAGTCCCCAATGCCTGTCGGGAATCGAACCGTAATTCCTTGGCTGTCCAGCCCGTAGCCCGTCGCTATGCCGACTGAGCATAGTCGGCTCCGCGTGAAGAGTGTATCTCATTTGTTCGAATCGGTTTGCCAATTGCTTGCACAGTTGTGAGCGATGCCAAGAGATGCGACGGACGTCACGTGCTGCAGAGATATTATCTGTCGCCCTGTAAGGAACCTTTACACAACATCCAGTCACTGCGTCTCGCCCTGAAACCCACGAATCCAGTCCACGCACGTTTACATCCTATTTTTGGAAGATCCATTTTAATATTGTGAAATGCAGACTCATTTCCAAGGAACAGCTGTTTAAACAGGTGAAAGTACAACAGCCATTGCTAGGGAGCAGTTCTGTGGATTTGTTTCCCCGGCAACGAGAGAACACGCAGTAATTGAAGAGACGTTTTCTGTGTGGTCCGTGCTAGAACTGTATAACGAAGACAAGTGAGAAAATGGTAACTTAGGCCGAGGAAGAGGACCGCTCGCCTTTGCAAGCCGCTACCAAGCAACGGCAAATGAAAATTGCTGTGTGCTATAGTTATAGTGACCCTTGGAGTGTGTAAGTCAGTGAGACTGTTGTAGTTATTTGTAGTTACGTTCTGTAAGAGTACAGTAAATCGGATTACTTCGTCTTCAGTCACAGTTAATCACGTGACAGTAATATCGTCTCTTCAAAGTGAGCCCCTCCGTTCCCTGTGTTTTCTGAATGTCCAGATGAACTCCCTGCTTCAGAGCGCTTACCGCTCGCCGCCATCCAATGCCCAGTTTAAGAAGAATGAGTAGAGCCTTACTTCCACGCCTTTCTGTGGCATGGTGCTTGGACATAGGGCTACTTACTTGGCGGAGGTTGCAGTGGCGTTGCTCGGTCCATGCGCCAGAACGTTGGAGAAGCTCCCGGAAATGGTGACCGGGCCGTGACCTTTGGACAGGCTCAAGTGGGCGAGATACAGCGGCTCGAACCGGTCCACGTTGATCTCCGGGATCCCTGCAACACAACGCGTGATCCGCGTGCAAATACGGCCCGCGCCAATCTCAAAGTATTAGTGGCATTTTAAGACTCTATTCTGCCACGGAGAGCAGATCTAGTCATGTGGGATTTGTGGTGCACAAAGTGGCATTGCTGCAGGCTTCGTCCGAGTACTTCGGTTTCCCCTGCCAATTCTCAGTTCAGAAACTGGCCGATGCAGTACAGCCTGGATACTGAGAACGTCATTAAGCAACCAACTTGCCATTTTTCCGACAGGTGTTACTTGAATGAGCACATCAAGGAGGACGAGATGTGCTTGGCATGTAGCACGCATGGGGAGAAGGGAAATGCAAGTAGGAAAACTTGAAGGAAAGTGACCAGTTGGAAGACCTGAGAATAGATGGCGATAGTATTCAAATGGATGAAAGAAGCAAGGTTGGGTTCGAGTGGGCTGGATTTATCTGTACGTTTTGATTTGAAGTTTTCACGGCAATGAAAGTTCATATTGTGATGTTCGGTGTTGTGACGCCGTTTAGCCTGGTAGGCGGGTATCAACTTTTCGGAGGGAAATACTGTCTCCATTTTCAAAGTACAAGACGTGGACAGATGTTCCTCCGAACGCTGTATCCACCTACAAAACTACACGGTGTGATATCCCCGAAGTAGGCTTGTAGGCCGTTTCTTAGTGTTGGGCGCTTATCTGTGCGGAAGTACCTGCGGCGAGAGCTGGAAACATGTGCTGGAAAGAGTCCTTGACACAGACGTTCAGTTCCGGGTCGCCGAGTCTGCAGGGCCTCAGCCAGTCAGCTGCAACAAGCATTACACACGTCTCAGAACTGTTGTTGCCCCGAGAGAGTTACAGTACGGGTTTCTGTGGCGAGTTATGGGTTCAGTTCCGGATCACAGTCTGCAGCACCAAGCATTACACACGTCTCAGAACTGTTGTTGCCCCGAGAGAGTTACAGTACGGGCTTCTGTGGCGAGTTATGGGTTCAGTTCCTGTAAAACCATAAATAATTACCTTACATTTGGAATAAATCGATTTTGTCACAAAGGAAAGATACGCAGGTCAGGAGCAGTTCGTTTCACACCGGTATATTCGTATGTCCGTAGCATTGAAAGGGTTCACGACCCCGATTAGTAACGGAGGTTGAGGGTGAGTCTGAACCAAGATGTCTCATACAGAACTGGGTACAGGAAGTCGGGTGTTACCCCTGAACTAAGCTGTTCGGTTCCGTCCTATCCATGGCGTCAATCTTTTGTTCATTTCGTGAGAAAATAATGAAACCCGTGTTATTTTAGTTTCTGGAAAAAAAATCAACCTTCAGTTCATATTGAGAATAGCGGCCCTAACAACGCGCTTGGTTCTACGAACTGAATTTGTACATTCCATCCTTGCACACGTCCCACATCAGAAGTTCGCATACCGTTATGCATATACAGTGTGTCCACAACGTCCATATCTCTTTTATTAAGATAACAGTAACGTTATATTGCTCAAGACTCGGTCTGTGGGGAACTTCCGAGAGCGTATGACAATAGGATTACCTGGAATCAGAGAAGAGTTTGATGGGCAGTTTCACACTCTTGGCCGAACCCAGAATTCGATTCATGATTTGCACAATAATGGACATTCTGTACGACATTAAACAAATGCTCTTCGGGCAAAATCCTTCTAATATGTGTTCACGCTTAAGGATTATTTTCCTAGGTTAATAACATTTCTCTGTCGCCTCTACAATATCTGGCAATAAAGACCAGACTAGGAGTAAAACTGGAGAGTGGAGAAAGTGTTTTCTCTTTCTTTGAGTCTTCCTTGTCATTAAATGTTCCCCCTCCCCTTCTCTGCTTTTGTTGCTGGTTATGTAACCGGTTTCCATCGTGTGTCAGTACTAACCTACTTACCGTGTCATCTGCGCGGACTCAGGAATGAGGCTGCCTGGGTGACGAAACACTAGGCGAAGTAGCCATCAGGCGTGAGACCACAAGCAGCAGTTTGCAGCAGTGAATTATCAGGACCTTAGCAATGCTCAGTAGGCTCGGTGTTCGTGAACGAATTTGTTGACCAACGGTAGACACTAAATTCTGGGAACATTGTGGGCAGGGCTCGAGGAATTTTGATATTACGATTGGCTGATTAGCGTAATGTTGTGAGGTAATTGGGGGAGCCTTTACAACAATGGGGGGAGGTTCATTTTGATGAATTTAAGTCCCGAAGGCTACATGAGAATCACGCAGTAGCAGCCTGGAACTTGCGAGCCGTCTCACCTTTGCTTGAAGGCTGAGGAAAACCAAGAATACCTATGTCGAAATGACCCAAGCTTGAGACCGATTAATGCCATTTAGAGAAGTAAGCGATGAAATTCGTGGTTCCAGTGGCGATGACTGAAAGGTTCAGTACTGCGGCGTCACAACAGACGGCCATTACTTGGCAGCGGTCCGTGCCGATGACTGTGCACTCAACAATGGAACACGTCATTCCACAACTAAGCAACAATTACACTGCAACAGAGGAACGGTGTTTTCTGTACGGTCCGTGCCGGAGTTATATAACGAGTTTAATCAGTTTATAAAGACCGACTTTCTCCTTCGTCGAAGAGGAGCTCCTATTTCGAAACACGTACATGTCTAGGAGACAATAAAAATTGTTGTCATGAATCCCGAGGAGAATGAACTCAGGAAAGCTGGCGAAGGCCGCAGCAATTTAGCCGACCGACCGACCGAGTCAGATAGCCGTTGGGGTTCAGTGTTTGTGATCTGTTGTTGCGAGAAGCTGGTAGCTGAGGCCGGGGGACAGTTCGGGAACCCAGAGGAAAGGGATCGTCCGTCGTTGGAAACTGTTACCAAGCAACGGCTAGTGAAGACTGCAGCAGACTGAGATTTGTGTAGTGTGTAGAACAGCGAGTGCATAATCCTTATCTGTAGTTCTCTAAGTGTCTAATGAAACCGATTACTAATCGAAATCCCGTCTATAGTCACTAAACTCGTGGCAGTATTTTGGGATGTGATGCCTTGTGTATCAGTTCTGCACACTGTTGCCGGTCCCTATCAGTCTGTACAGTGACAGCAGGAGAGTAAGCTATAAAATGATGCTGTACAGTCACGAGAACAATCGCGAAATGTTGCGCCCTCCGCAGCGATACGAAATTGTAGTTGAAATAGTCTTGAGAAGCCGGGAATCGCCTTACAGCAGATCGCGATCTGAGAAACTGCGGTCGACTGTGTTATCCCGTATTTAGGGGTGTGTGTGCCTGTAGACGGGGTATGGATTTATTGACTACTTACACACACGACTCACAACTACAAGCAATTACAGCGCCTCCGCTAAATTACACAATTCACAAATCACCACAGCAACCGCTAAGCCTTTTACAGACTACTGTGACTTCACCAGCCGTTCTCTGGCAACGGCTTCTAACAGTGGAGATTCTTCAGCCTCCCTTGCAGAGCTCAACTGAACTCTCAACCCTCAACTAACTTCTTTATAACCACTTTGCACGGACCGCTTCGAAAACATCGTACTTCTATTGTTGCATGCATGTTCGTTTCCGCGGAACATGTTTACCGAAACGGCTGTTTTCTCGTTGTTTCGTTTGCAAGCAACGGGTCTTTGCGCCACAGAATGAAGCTGTCACTCTGCAGCAACACGGTTAGGAAAGTATAGAGGTGTAGTAGCTCAGTTGCAGGGCGAAGAGGAAGAAATCAGCGTGTGTGAGGCATTGGTCTTACTGCCAAGTGTAACTCCAGAGGTTGAGGTGAAAACCCAGAAGCCTCAGCTTAGCTTTGGAGCCGGGATAGCGTAGTCGGTATAGCGACGGGCTACGGGCTGGATGATCGAGATACTAACAGCATCGTAGAGTACCCCACAGCTTGAAAACGTGTTTATTGTTATGGTGTTCGTTGCCGTCACGACAATAGCTACTTTTACCTGCGTAAAACTACTTCTCCCGCCAGAAGTTACTTACGCGTGTGGTCCAGCAGTGTGACCGCCTGTTTGTCGCCTTTTCCTCCGACAGACAGGGCGAGGGCGCACAGCGAGAAGCAGACTGCAGTTGCTATGGTCACTGTGGCAGTCATCCTCGCTGCTCTCAGCTGTCTGCTTCACTCCTGAGCTCGGAGAAATTAAATGTTCGAGAAGAAAGTAACAGCTAGTGGCTTCAGTACCGGAGAAAGTGTTTTCATTAATCAGGAGGGGGTATAAAGGAAGACTTAACAGGTTTGTTTTAGTGTCGGGTCGCGAGGTGCTCGTTGCATATGAATTACCTCTGTGCCTTCCTTCGGCGCTCGCTTGGCAGCAGCTCAAGTGGCTGCGAACAAGAGGGACCCATGTCGAGACTATCTGGGGCAACGCTTGCTTCGAATCCCTGCTCACTCCTAATGGGCAGGTGTAGGCTTCCCACAGTTCTCCGATAGAGCGCTGTACGCGATGTTTGCAGATGGTACTAAATTCGGACGGTAGATTGGTCTGCCAATGATAGTCTCTTTGTCGTCACGTGTCCTTAGTTTTATAAAATATACTTTAGAAGGGGGGCACTATGCTACAAGCTGGAAGGTCGCGGATTCGAATCCAGATGAGTTCATTGGATTTTTTAATTGACCTAATCCTTCCAGCCGCATTATGGCCCTGGGGTGGACTCAGCCTCTAACAGAAATGAGTACCAGGAATCTTCCTGGGGATAAAGGGCGGCCGACACGTGAGGCTGACAACCTCACCGCCATCTGTGAACCGATTTTCCAGATAATGTGGGAGCCTCAACGCCTCACAGCCCTATGGGCCTCCACGGCCTGTTGCAGGGACTGCTTTCTGTACTTTGGATTTTGTTTTCAGTATTTGATGTTTTCATTGGGTGGTGAGCCCGGGAAGTGGAGCCCCTGAAGAATCAGTACAATTGAACGAATTGCCCCCCACGACTTCTTCCTGTACATAGAGACCGTGTGACATAGACCGCTGTTGCGCACACGTAGTGCCAGCAGTGGGGTCACTGTGACTTCGCTCTTCCTTTTGTTTCTTGTATCTATTCTTAAAAATAAGTTTCATAACAGAAGTAATTACGCACTATTCCACACAACAGCCTGAGCCAGTCCATCCCCCTCGCATCTGCAGAGCACCCGTCCAATCAGTTGGATCGGGTGAATTGCTGCTGGTCTTCGCCAGCAGTCATTTTTGGTTTAGGGCCTCATGGTCAACACTTTAACGTGTTTTGAAATGGGGCTTCCTCGTCAGCACGAGGAGGGGTCTGACTGCTACTGGCCCCTCCTCGTCTCACTCACTCACTACTGACCCTACTGACTCTCTGCTCCACACACGCACGCACATCCGCGCACACACACATTGTTTCCTCCGTGAAAGTTACATCACGACTGGCAGTTTACCGGTCTGCGCGCCAAGCCCCTTGAGGATTACGACCAGATTTTTTTGCAGCTGACCCTTGCAGTCATAGCCCTTATGTAACATCTTCTCTAACGAGACGATGGGTTTGTCTCTTACAAATATGCTTGGCTATTCTCCAAGTGTACGTGTCACACAATTAGCGTGTTACTGGAAATTCTTCCTTGTGCACTATATACAAGTCCTTTGTCAGTACAGGCTCTGCAAAGCAGATCGTGCATAGCTTACGTATCTTATGCGACAACGGCAGCTTTATCACTTGAACGGCTGTAAGCTTCACCACAGCAAAGTTTAAGCCCCTTATATTTTCTTTGTATTGCTTCTCGTGATTTTATATGACTTCTACTTTTCCTGCACAGTTTTGTTATATAATTCCTTCCATCCGTCCATCTTATTAATTACAGATTCAGTCCGTACCTCACAGGTAACACGATACGTCTCTCCCACAAGAACCAACCGGTTAATATTGTTTAGCGACATAATCGCTGTTTGTACTGGGAATCATACGGAACAAATAAATACACATTCGTTAATGTTAAAGTAAGTGTTGTTTTAACGACCATGTTAGGTGGGTCCCTGTCACCACGGCATGGCGCGTCCTCAGGTTGCGGATGGAGGAGACGCCCTCCAGGTATGGAGGGTAGCTGTGAATATATTGAATAAGCAGTCTCGGACAGCCGACAAAGGGTGGCCCTCCAGCTTGGGGGTTGGGCATGGGGCTAACAACTCCTCACCGTAAAAATCATTATGTTACGAAAATGATTAAAGAAACACAGGAAGTTGGAGAAATATGCATAATGAGGAGCTTCATAACTTGTACTCTTCTATAAGTATAATTAGAATGATCAAGTCAAGGTGGATCAGGTGGGCAGGTCATGTAGCACGGATGGGGAAGACGAGGAATGCGTATAGGATATTGGTGGGAAAGCCAGAAGGAAAGAGACCACAGGGAAGACCAAGGTGTAGGTGGGTAGACAATATTAGAATGGATCTTAGAGAGATAGGATGGGATGGGATGGATTGGATAGATCTGGCTCAGGATAGGGACCAGTGGAGGGCTCTTGTGAACACGGTGGTGAACCTTCGGGTTCCATAAAATGCTGGGAAATTCTTGAGTAGCTGCAGAATTGGCAGCTCCTCCAGAAGGGCTCGGCTTCATGAGTAAGTAACTAAGTAAGTAAGTAAGTTGTTTTAACGACGGAGTAAACAGAACCGAGGACCGTGAGTGCTGTAAGATTCAAATATCGTGTTCTAAGGATGGGAAATGCAAATGCAGAGATTAAACATCCCAGCAGATCTGTGACATTCGGGCCCGATCCCCGAGACAATGTGGCAGCAGTAATGCGTGCGAAATTTGGTCGAGATATTCCCAGAACTTCGGTTACTGTCGTGCAGCCTTACTTTACTCGTGCGCCATTTTTGTTTAAAGACGTTGAGACGACGCATGAAAACAATGGACGTTGGTATCAGTGGTTTCTATTTTTACTTTATTTAAAACAAAGAACGAACGTTACCCGATACGTAATTACGAAATTACCTGCAACTTGGTCAATGACGAAAAGGTGGGGGCTGTCCTCCCGACTGTGCAGTGCAACTCTGACGGTGGGGGTGGGGGTTACGGGCCAGTCCTCACTTCTTAATGTCACGTCTGGTCGCACCTGCGTCTCTCTGACTCTAGTGCCGCGTCGAGATGACAGCGTCGTGTGTGCTCCTGTTGTCAGTGTTCGGCGTGCACACTGCCTTCGCTTACTTAAAGGAGAAACGTAAGTTTTTAAAGAGTAAAATTAGTGGTTGCTATAGTTACCACCTGATTTATCATTTCACTAACTCTGCATTTTGTTCCTGCCGTCTATTCTTACGTCTCGTGTGCTTCTCGCAATAAACAGCATTAACCGGTTGGGCATTGTTATGGAGACGTAATGCGTTTCCTGTGAGGTACTGTAACCGCTCACTTCCTTTGTGCCCTTTTCGTTGGTCGCCACTCTCTCACCTATCACTTCTTTGGGTTCTTTTGGGTAGTCGGTAGAGCTTGAGTTCCTATTCTCGGGTCTTATAAGGGTCTGGCTCGGACAGGGCAGGAGGAACCCTTCACTACAATTACCACACACACTCTACAACCGTTGCACTTAATGGTCCTTTAATCTCGTTCAGCACACTAAATACAACTGACTTTATTAATATATTTAATATGGACTTTCTTATACTCTCTACGGAAGGGCCGTAGTTGTAAATTTAGTGTCTGACTTGGCCGAAAGTTGTGTCAAGACTTTTCGAGGTGGAATGCCCTCTCTCTGAATTCTGAGGTCCACGAACCCCAGACTCCAAGAGAAATCCACTCCTCCACTTCTACCATTGGTTAAGTTTCCAAAATAGGAGGTTCCCTAAATTTTGAATTTCCAATCATGTTGCTCTGCTATGTGATTCTGGCAGATGCTGACCTGACGCTAAGGATGACAGCCCCTTGATGCATTACGGCCAGGGTGTGAGGCTCCGGCCGTCCCACTTCTAAGTTATCGCTGTCCCAAGCTGTCAGCTCTCATTTTCTCAAAGCCTTTCCGCCTTTGCTGAAACTGCCAGAATTCTAGGAAATTACCAGATGTTCCTTCCTGTTCACATAGCAAAACTTGAACTATGTCCCTTCCGCGTAAGAGCTGGCTATCTGCCGGATCTCTTTGTTTGTAATATTGTTATCTTAATCTAGTACATATTTAATTTATGCACAACAGTTCTCCAATCAACATGAACGGTTACAGTACGGACTGAATCTTTGTGTTATTCAAATTTACATCTTCTGGCTAACAAAGGCGAGGCGCGCTATTCGTGCAAATGGACTGCTGACGATTCACGTTGGCTCCATGGAGCTGAAGCCAGTCAAGAGTTTTGCAATATTTTGTATGTCCATAAGATATGCCCCAGACGTCCCTGTACTGAGCCAGGTAGATATAATTCATATCTCTTTTTAAGATGCTTCCCATCTAATTCTGGGTCTTACTGGTAATTGTTTCCTTGATGTTTCCCTTATCAAGACGCTGTATAGATTTCTGTTCTCCCATGCGTGCTGCATGTGCGTCTTGTCTCATCCAACCTTATTTGCTCATTCTCATAATATCTGATGCATCACATGTACATTACGAAGGGGCACGCGGTAACGTAGTTCGTTGAGCCACTATGCTACAAGCCGCAAGGTCGCGGGTTCGATTCTCGACGAGGTTATTGGATTTTTCGATTGACCTAATCCTTACGGCCGTACTATGGCCCTTGGGTGGACTCAACCTCTAACAGAAATGAGTACCAGGATTCTTCCTGGAGGTGAAGGGCGGCCGGCGCGTAAGGCTGATAACCTCCCCGCCATCTGTGAGCCGATTGTCTAGAAAATGTGGGAGCCTCGACGTCTCACAACCCTATGGGCCTTCACAGCGTGTTGCAGGGACAGCTTTACCTATTTTTACACTTTGGAGCTCCTCAGTATGCAGTTTTCCCCATCCTCCTGCCACTTCCTCTTCCTTGCTCTCAAATGCCCCCCCCCCAGCGCTCAGTTCGTGTTGTCCCCCATCTGCCAGAGACGAAGTTTCGCACCCACACAGGCATACACCCAAACTGTTTTCAAAGTTTATGGTATTGAGTATGAAATTAATTTGTACACTAATAATTCCCTTCCAGCAGCACTGTGGCCCTGGGGTCGACTCAGCCTCTAATAGAAATGAGTACCAGGAATTAATTAAATCATTTTCCTGGGGAGTAAAGCGCGGCCGGCGCGTAATGCTGACAACCTTACCGCCATCTTTGAGCCGATTGTCTTGATAATGTGGGAGCCTCAACGTCTCACAAACCTTTGGGCCTTCACGGCCTGTTACAGTAATAGCTTTACTTTCTTTTTCACTAACAATTTCGTTGAATTCGATTGAACTGGCTGAGGGTAGCCTGTTGTAAGCGGTGTCGAACCCCAGGATCGTGACGTCACCAGAGAATGAGACCATTAACTTGATGTTTGTCGCTGTTTGCCCCCTCCCCAGCACCCTTCATGCGGGTGTGCTACACGTCGGATCCCAGCTTCACGAGATGCTCCACCGAGGCAGTGCAGCAAGTCTTCAGCAACATTCAGAAAGGTAAGCAGCACAGTCTTACACTGACGTCACAGCAATCCCGGCCAGACCTTGCCGCAGTTGGTTGAGGCACTGCTGCAAGCCGGAAGGTCGCTGGATTTTCCATATGACCTAAACCTTCCAGCCGCACTGTGGCCCTTGGTTCGACTGAGCCTCTAACAGAAATGAGTACCGAAATCTTCCCGGGGTTAAAGGGCTGCCGGCGCGTAAGGCTGACAACTTCACCGCTGTCTGTGAGCCGATTGTCTCACAACCCAAAAGGCCCCCACGGCTGTTACAGGGATATCTTCACCTTACACTTGCCCACACAGACTGTATTTACGTGTAGAGACAGCTGCGGGTGGGCCTCCTTGGCGCTTGCACCGCTAACACAGTGATCTCTTGTGCCTAGTGAGGCGTGAACTGAAACTGTATTGTTTAGATGGAATTATGTTCTGCTTTCACAAAGGGCCCGATACCGTGTAGTCTGGTAAATGGGTACCAAGCGTCTGCCTGGGTGATGACTGCAGTGTGTTCTTCTAAACCGCTGCCCGGACATTACCGCAGTACAGGGTCAACTTTGTTGGTAACCATCTACCAGACTACACGGTACCATAATCCGAAGCTCCCCAATATGACTCCTCACGAGAGTGAAAGTCTCACCGCAACTGTGCCCACACGTGAACCGTGGAACCTCTCCGTGTACCCAAGTGTTCCGCAGAAGCCATGTTTCCCTCTTTCCGGTTAAGTTCTTTCGTGACGTGGTTGTCACGTGTCCCCCCCCCTCTTTCCCTTCGTACTTCTGCCGGCCTTACAGTCGGCCTCTTTCCCTGATAGCCGTCGAGTGGGCAGGTAGTCGCCCCTTGTCTTTGAAAATTAAGTTTCGGCTTAACTGATTGATTTGAAATTCTGTCTTGGCCGTTGAGCAAGGCTATCAAGGGAAAGTGGCCGACCCTAAGGCCGGCAGAAGTACGAAGGGACAGAAAGGGGGGAACACGTGACAACTACGTCACGAAAGAACTTAATCGGAAAGAAGGAAACTTGGCTTCTGCAGAACACTTGGGTAGACGGAGAGGTTCCAGAGACCCTAATCGCAGAGAACCGTTATACACGGTTCACACTTGTAGATGAATTTAGCGCAACGGTTCCCAAGATTTTGGGTTGCCATCAAAGCCTCGTGCCCCCTCAAATTTCTGTTAATAAGAGTGAGAACACTTTGCACCCGCAAGGTCACTGGTGGAGCGTCAACACGGTACGACCCCAGTTCTCGGGCCTTACAGAAAGCGTAAATAATTTCTAATGCTGAAAGAGATAATAATATGAAAGTTGGCGCTTTGCAGGTTTTCCCGGAACAGGGATAGAACCCGTGGACCCCCTGAACATCCCGGAGATCAAATTGCTTCAGGGAGCGGACGGCCCGATCACTCTGAACGCCTCCATGGTGAATGTGACAGTAACGGGGTTGTCCAACGTGAAGATCGAATCCAACAAGTGGGTACACAGCACAGCAAGTGCATCTTGTGCAGTCTAAATGAAGCGTCATTACGCGAAATTCCGCGTTACGATATCAACGGATTATCTGCCGTTAACACGTTGCTTAGCAGAACGCGAATGAGTGAGTAGTCTTTTTGTTTCGGTGTATTGCATCAAGTCTGTGGCTACTGATAATATGTGAAGTGTAGGAGCCGGGATATGCCAGTCAATATAGCAGTTGGCTACAGGCTGGAGCTCCGACCGAGCGGTCGGAGTTTGAGTCCCCGTAAGAGCACAATTTTTCTCTTCTCCACAGCGTCCAGACCGGTTCTGGGGCCCACCCACCCTCCTATCCAATAGGTACCGGGGGTAAAGAGGCTGGGGCGTGAAGCTGACAACTCACCTCCAACTAATGCCGAAGTCAAGAATATGTGGATCCTTACATCCACTTCCCCATACGTCTTCATGGCTGTTCAAGTTTACTGTTTATGTGTGTTATCCGTGGGTGATAGTTTCACACATAGCATGTAGGACTGGAAAGGAGTACGGGAGGAAGCGAGAGAAGTTAAATGGACGCTTTTGCAGTAATTAAATTCGCTTAGTGGGGGGTGCGGTCCAGCTGGATCCACTCGGCATGGCGGCCATTGATTGGTCTGTTTACCTGCCCCGGGTGATTATGATGATGGAGAATTTGGTGGAATGAAGATTGGCAGGGGAAACCAAAGTACTCGGAGAAAACTCGCCCCAGCGCCACTTTGTCCACCATAAATCCCACTTGACCAGACCCCGGGATCGAACCCGGGCCGCCGCGGTGGGAAGCAGGCGACTAATCGCGTGAGCTATTGGGCGGCCCATCCTCTGCAGTATAATAAACGCTGAATTCTCAGTGGCACTTGCCTGGAGGGGCCGAGGAGAAGCACGAAAAGACCTGTATCTCCAGGTCGGGCGGGATTTTGCGGCTGCTACTCTCGCGCAACCTTCGGCCTGTCAGTGGCAGCAGTGCCCTCCGCGTACCTGAACACTGAACCTCAAGTTCAGAACAGTATTGCTGAAAACATTTCGGAGGGAAGAATACATTTCAGGAGTATGAGAACAAGTTTTGGACTGAGCGCTTTGAGGTATTACAGAACTTTATACGGGTCTCCCGGTGTTGTTGTGGCACTGAAGTGTAGAAGCGTACGATGGGCTGGGAATGTGGATAGGGCCGCGGTGGGACTCGACGAATGTACGGAAATGTTTGGTGGGAAAACCCTTTGGGAAACGTCTAACTTGACGATTTGGCAGGATGGGACGGGTTCAGGATCGTGTCGAATGGCGGGTTTTGGCACGAGCGTTGTTGCTATCACAGTGCTAGTTAGTTCGCTATCGAGGGTAACCTCAAGGTACTCCCACTAGACGTGTCTGGAAATGCAGGTCATTGCGACCTGTTTCCTTCGTGTTACCTAATAAGGTCATGAAGTCAGTTTCCTTGCTTATGCAACAAGCAGCCAGAAGCCACATTCCCAGGCAGTGCGCATGTCTGAACTACTTTCATTACTGCAGAAGGGAGAACCGCACCGTGCAAGTGCTGACGGAACTATGACTCTCGAAAAATTCAGCCTTGCTTGCATTGATAATCAGATAATATTAAAAAGATCACTTATTAATTTGTAACGGTAAAGGTGAAGTTGTCACTGTGCTTAAATAATTAAGCACTATGCCATGAGCGGATGTATAGATCCACATTTTCTTGACGTCGGCACGAGCTGGAGGTAAGTGGCCGACTTTACTCCCGGGGTTGTAATTATGGCCAGACAGCGCGTAGCGTCTGGTGTTTGGGTGATAAGTGAATAACGAATTATGAAGGCTGCAGACTGACGTATTTAAAGGCATTTGCCTGGACGGACTGAAGCAGTCAGCATAGTAGGTCTAGAGGCCGAGACTGGAACCCAGTTCCTGCCAATAGGAAGCGGGAGTGCGGGTCATTAGACTGCAGTATCTGGTAGAATGAATGAACCGGTTCGAGGTGAGCGAGATCAGACGCGTGGGCGGCGTGTAGCTCCGTGCATTCTCAAGCGAGGTGAGTGGCCACGGCCCAGTCAGTAGCTGAGACACTGGAGAAGAGATGAACTGAACACTGATACCTGTAAACTTGTCACTGTACTGACTGAGCTACCCCTGCTCCTGAGTGAAGTGAGGATAGGGTCTCACAGCGGAGTGATGAATCTCCTTGCTTTTGGGTGGTGTTGCAGCGTGAACCTTGAGGACTACGGCTTCACGACTCGGTTGAAGATCCCCAAGCTCCGGATTGAGGGGCTGTACACAGTGAACGGCAGGATCCTGGTGTTGCCGCTCACAGGACACGGCGACGCTTGGCTGGAACCTGGTGAGTGACGTCAGCCTGCACTGCCGGGGGGTGTGGACACAGGCAGTCGTGACTGAATTTAAAGTAATATTCTGGAATTTGACTAGAAGTGCTAAGGAAAATCACAGAAAACCTTGATCAGTTCCCCACGTTTTCCTTCAAATAGACCGTGAAGGATTAATGAAGACATCACGCTTATATGTCAAATTCTTACTGAATGCTTGTCACCGGTGTATTGTAGCGTATTGTTTCATGTACTCCCGTTGCTAGGCAACGGGGTGTTAAACACGTTCCACCAGATGCAAAAGCGCGGAACAGTAGGACGTCTGTTTCTAGGCAACAAAGCTCTAAACATCCATCCGCATAGGCAGTGACGTCACATAAGAGTGGATAGAGACCATTTGACGTGTTTTCTGTAGGTCCGCGCCGGAAGTTTAGGTGGGGACAATAAAGGTCGTTTACAGGCAGTCTTCAGCTGGAGGAGCGAGCAATAGAGTTCCGAAGTTCCAGGGTGATTGCACGAGAAATGGCAAGAAGACGTCACAGTGATTTGAAGTGCTAGTTTCTGTGTTGAGATCCGTTGCTAGGAGACGACAAGTGGAAACTGAGAATCCTAATGAGTGTGCAACGGTGAACTGTAAATTGTCTAAATTGGCTGTAGCGCTGTATTAATTGCAATTAAAAGAGATTGTAACGGGAGTGCCAAGAAATACACTCATCCGAACTAGAACCCGTTATTTTCGTCACGCGTAACCCCCTACACGTGACAATATATTGGATTATTCTTTAATTTTGTTTCCATCCAGTGTGAAGGATTGCATGCTACAAACCTGTTTGAACGTTCAGATGTGTTAAAACTGGTCTTCTCATCTATTTCTGGGTCGTCATATGTCCGTCTGTAATTGTAATTATAAAATAATGTGATATTTTAGCAGTTTATTATTTTGGATTATATTTATATGTCTTTTTGGAGTTAATGATATTCTTAGTTTCCAGTGGATCTCTTAAGAAACTTTGAAAACTGCAAGCATAAGGAAGTCATGAGGCTGAAAATGTGGACAGCTAAAACAAGGAAATGTGTAACCAGTTCTTAGTAAAATTAAATTCATTTTCCCTCCTCAGATGTAGCAATTCGTTTTGACCTCTGCAAAGTAGGAAGCATTCAGACCAAAGGATCGACACGTTCTGTAAAGCTGAGAGACCCCAGTCACTTCATGTGACCCTTCACCTTGCATTTGAGCGTGTGCCTTCTGAGGATGAAGCAGAGAAAGCCCATCCTGCGCCCAAGGCCAGGCATTCTGTAATTGCATAGCGCATTTGCCTAATTCATACAACTACAGCAGGCATTCATGTGTGAGGTTAAGTCATACTGAGGAAACGGTGATGCAAGCACAGGCACATGGCTGGATGAATCGACTAATTAACTATGTGAAGCACAATGGTAATTATATGGGCCTCGTGCTTTCACTCACTCACTCATGGAGCTGAGCCCTTCTTGAGAAGCCGCCAATTGTGCAGACACTCAAGAACTTCCCAGCATTTTATGGAACCTGAAAGCTCATTACCATGTTCACAGGAGCCCTCCTACCTTGTGCTTTAACATTAGAAAATGTTTTTCCCCTCATGGTTTATTAATGCATCTCATATGGTTGTTGCAATAAACAGCTGTTACTTTCCAGAACAACTTAACTGGATGATGTTTCTGTAGATGAAGTGCGGGCTTCAGGAGGTTAACTGGCGCTCAGACCCACAGAACAGAAGGATCGACATGCAAGTGGTTGTCATCCTGACTGAGGATTTCCATGGTTTTCTTCAGGTCCCTTGGCAAATACCTCTTATCAGGTGACAGCCACTTGGTTCAGCGCCTTTTCCTCTTCAGTAACCATGCTCGTACCATTCAGGGCTATACCTTGGGCTACTGACAGTGTTACCATAGATACCCTTCTGTTGTTTTGCAGAGGATCTGAACGTGATGGCGCATGTGGAAGTGTCCATGAGGGTTGTGGACGACATCAAATTCTTCAAGCCGGAGGGAGTTCATGTTAACTTTACTATTGGGAGCCTCAGACTCAGACTGGACAATCTCTTCAATGGTCTCAAGGCACTGGGTAAGGACCACCGCTGTTAGTTGAGGGTTGAGGTTCTCACAGTAGTGAATAGTATGGGTGAGGACTTCTGGTACGTGGTTACCAACATTTTGGAGGTACCTCCTGCCCCCACCTGCAGGAAGGCACTGCATTCCCCCAAAATGTTGGTTACGATCCACCATATCACATAGTATTACATCCCAGAAGACCCGCGCTGTTAACTAAGTTGACAGTTTCTCTGTATATGATGATATCGACATAAAGTTCATTATTTTATTCACTTTCACTTCACAACATATGCACAACTAGGATAACTGTACAGTTTCTACGTTATGACATGTGTGGGACTCTATTTTTGGCCATCACCAGGTGGTACTTAGCTCTCTCTGATATTGTCCCTCCATTGGCCAATGTTTACAGTGTTTACCTGATGTTGTAAAGTAGAAACTACAGTTATCCTAGTTATGCATATCTTGTGAGACTGAGACTGAAACTGAAGGACATATTCTGGGCACGTGGTGACCCTAAAGTACAACATCACTGTAATGTAGATGGATTTTCAAAGACATCTCATGATGTGATGACATGCTGTACTCTGTCTGATATGTTGCTCTGTGATTTTCAGAGGAGAGGACGAATGATTATATCAACATCAACTGGCGCCCTGTTGTGGAGTCCCTGAAGCCCATCCTATCACGCATTGTGGCTGGTTTCCTGAGTGGCATCCTCACAAACGTGTTCGAAAATATTCCGGCCAAGTACTTCATCGGGGACCTGAGCTAGTGACCACAGAGTTCCACAGTCTTCCACAGTCTCCTGCCATTCGTCACTCAATGAAATTTGTTTAAATTAGAATTCATGAAGTTCCACCATACTGCACCTCTGTCAGGAGTAATCACTTCTGTCTTGTTCCTGAAAATGTCTGAGTAAGCTCAGAGTGGTCAATTTATGACACGTCTCCCTTTTCAGCTGAATTTACAGTCTTCACTTAAACAAAATTAATTGTTTTAATCATCTTTACTCCTCTACACGGTCTGGACAGTGAGAATAAGAATAAAGTTGTGTCAGGACTTTGTGAAGTCAGCTCCCTGTTCCCATTTAAATACAAATGTTAACACAATTTTGCTGAAGCTGACTTGCCGGTTGCGCTTAACTCATGCAAGCATCATAATCTGTAGGTTCCGTTTTAAGTAGCTTTAAGTTCCATGTTGCCTCAACTCTTGCTGCCCTCTGTTTTTATGTATATCTCAATATTTATAGTGGTTCATATCAGACTGTACACCCACACACAGTACTGAGCATCATGGCTACCCTGCTGACTATACTTAAAGTGCTGGGTTTGTCTTTCTTAACTGTTAACCTCAGAAGACAATATTGCCAATGAATGTCATTGATTTCATAAGATTCTGATAAAGTCAGTGATACCGAAAGTTTAATTAATACAATAACATAATTGAATGGCTGTGGTCCGCAGCAGACGTTGTTTGCCATATTCACAAGGGCTCACCACTGGGCCCTATCTTGACCCAGTTAAATCCAATCCACACCTTATATCTTTAAGATCGGTTTTAATATTATCCTCACACCTACACATAGATTTTGTAAGTAGTCTCTTTCCTTCAGCCTTCCAATTGAAATCCTGTGTGAAATTCTCATCTCTGTCATGCTTGCTGCACGTTCCGTCCTTCTTACACCTTGATTTGAAGACCCTACTAATATCTGGTAAAGAATCCACAAATTGTAAAGGTCCTCATTATACAGTCATTTTAAAAAGTGAAGTCACCTTCTGTTTAAGCATTAATGTGAAGTTATGTGATAAGGTAAAATGTACATATTGTCGCATGTAGAGCCGTTGCTAAGCAACAACCGCGAAAGAAACATGTTTGCACGGCCAGAACTGATTGGCGGCAAGCTTCCAGTCATAAAGTAACTTTGACTTTTCTGACAGTGAGTTAGTCAGTTACTTGAGACTTGCATAGCTGAGGAAGAGGGACAGTTCGGAGATCCAGAGGAAGGTGAACATCCGCTGTTGGAAGCCGTTACCAGACAACGGCTGGTGAAGGCACAACAGGCTGAGAAGACTTAAGTGTGTGAATTAGTAAAACGGTTATAATTACTTGTAGTCATGGATCTGTAAGAGTTCAGTAAATCCAATCACCAACCGAGCCCCCATATGCATTCCTTGCAGTGGGGTGAAAATTAAGGAGCTGGCGTAATTCAGTACAGCAGCTAGGACTCATGTTCCCGGCAGGGACCAGATGTGTCTCTATCTTCTCCACAGGGTCCAGACCGGCTGTGGGGCCCAGCTGGGGCCGGGGCCGATCTGCTGTTAAGGTTCAGAATTCCGCCATACATAGCGGTGGCGCGCTGCTCGCTTAAGCACAGGGACAACTTTTCCTTTTGCTTTATTGTGTTATGGTGTACACTCGTACATTTCGAAATCTTCATGACACTGATTGTTCTCAATGTTCACTACCTTTGGGTTATGGAAACATGTGGTCTTATAGGTGGATAGTAACGTTTCGCAGATACATTCTGCCTCCATCTTCAGAATAGAAATTATTAGAGTAATGATGCAGTTACGTTATGCATATAGGTTGCAGTGTACCGCATCTTCACTTCAGTCCTGAAGAAGGAAGCAGCATGTTATTGCGAACGTTGACGTACAGCCCAGACTACCTGCAGATGTCAGTACGGTTTAATTACGGTGGGAGCAGCTGCTCCAACGTGAACTTGTGGTAGATTTTGTTCGAGAATTCCTTGAAGAGTTGGCCTATCTTGACCTCGAGCAGCGGTTGTAGCTCCGTCGCTATGTTTTTCCAGTTCTCGTTCAGGAAGAGGTTCATGGCATCGCCTGTACAGGAAACAACAGGTGAGCCACGTGACTGAGGCGCGGACACAGTGAACCCTCGCTGATCCGGATCGAGACAACTCGACAGTTTCTTCAAACCAAATCATTAAATTTCCCATTTATTTGTGTGCTAAGTTCTTATTGTCTTTTAGGGCTACTTTTGCTACAGTAATCCGGATTATCACTTAACCCGGACGACTTCTCCCGCCCCCCACAGTTTCTCCGGATTAGCGAGGGTTTACCGTATTTATTTCTGATTTATCTACGCACGCCTTTGTACCTAAGGCTGCATATTGTCGAATGGTAGGATGGTGGATGAATGATGAACTGGAAAGAATCTGGAAGGAAACGGTCATGGTCAAGGGCTTAGGGAAATCACGAAAAACTTCTGTGAGGCGAGATTTGAACCTGGACTCTCCTGAACAAAGAGAAGCAGTGCCAGGAACCAAACCTAGACGTCTGGTGTGTCGTCATTTAACAGGCTGTACAACTGTCCGGGGCTGGTAATTTGAAGGTGGTCTGTATCGTAGAGTTCGATGGTTTGGATCAGCTCCTTGTGTCGAACTCGGACCAGCAGCTGTTAAACGCGAGTTTGTAAGCAAACCTGTAGCTGATTCGACCCCCACACCTCCCCACCTCCAATTGGGAAACTCCTGGTTGTGTCCATCGTAGGAACCCTTTGCAATTATAGCTTAGGCCCCCCATACACACACACAGTTTGGGCTTCCGATCGACCTTACAGGCAAAACTGTGACAGTTTACCCCCTCCCTTTCCTCCCCATACACGCGCAGATAAAGCGGCAGGCTTCATGCCACAATCACGGTCTTCCAGCCTATAATGTTGAGTCACACACGTCACGTGCTACGGTCCTGCAGGCAAAACTGACGGACTGACGGGTTTCCCAGAGGCCAACAGTCCAAACGATTGGCCGGCCGGCCGCACCACACACGTCAGTTTTGCCTTTCAGTCTTCAACTGTGCAGGCCGAACTGGAGGCCAAACTGTGTATGTATGGGGCCCCTTAGTTGAATACCATCAGACTGCAGTTCCGTCTGAGGTCTGCACCTCCACGCCTCTCACTCACCCAGCTCTCTGTCGCCGTTAAACAGGTCTCCCAAGTACAGCCGGGCGTCGCCGACGGAGAATTTGACGTCGAAACTCTTGACGCTGTAGTGCGTGTTACCGCCTATGGTGATGTGTTCCCCCTGCACCGAGCAGGTGGCGTCAATGTCGGCTGAAAGCAGGCATTTAGCGTGTTCAGCGGGGTAATGAATATCTTGTTTACACCAGCCGCCACTGCAAGTAATGTAGGTGTGAGTTATATTGTGAGATACAGTCTGACAACGTTAATCGCCGCTGTACTTACTGTAATTTCCCTCGTTGTAACCTCTTCCACTGATAGGCATAATTAGAACACGGCCGTCTATTTTGTAGTGACTGGTCATGCGCAGATGGGGCAGCCAGAGCTTTATGCGCACACTCTTCTTGTCCAAGTCAATCCTGCCAAGAGGATCATCCTGATAATATTTGTGGTCTTTTGAGAAGCACACTGACTGTATTGTAGTAATCCCTCGCTAACCCGGGTCAAATTGTATGAGCAGTTTGAACTTCTGTTCACAGTTGAGTGCATACTGTAGAAGTCACATGGGATTTAGGAGCAAGAGGACTTTCAGACGTGTTGAGGGCAGCTGGAGAGACTGAAACCCACAGTTGGCTTCAGCTGGATGAAGGAGAGAGAAGGGATTTAGGGACAAGAGGGATCAGAGCAAGAGGACTTTCAGACTGTGTTGAGGGTAGCTGGAGAGACTGAAACCCAAGGTTGGCTTCACCTGGATGAAGGAGACCCTGGCAGAGGAAGAAAGTGCTCCATTTATTTTCATCAGCACTACCTATATTTATGCACTGTAAATTTATTTGTTTTCTAAGTTTTTTTTTTATTATTATTTTAGGGCTCCCTTTCGCTTCATGAATCCGGACGTTGTCCCCCCCCCCAGTTAATCCGGATTATTGAGGGTTTACTGTACTTCAAACTGCTGACTATTGCCAGTCGCCGTTCTTGGATTAATTTCACGACATATTTTCGTATGACTGTTATATGTGACGTCGAATTGCATGATGAGTGAATAAGGCATTGGAATGATTCTTAAACGAAGTCGTCGTGATCTATTTAAGGTTCTAACGCTGTTATTTGGGGAGGGAGGTTCTGGGGATGACCACGACAACCTATATTGAATGTAGGCTGTCTTCTGGACTTATGTTTGAAATCGAGACTTCCTTATTGCAAACCGGAAGGACAAGCCAGAGTCAGAGAAAACCAAAATTTTAACAGTTAGAAGTTACCACCCAGCTCTCTATCTAATGGGTATCGGGGACTTAGGAAATAAAGCGGCCGGGGCCTGAAGCTGGCCAACGTCAAGAACGCGTGCAACTATCCCACTACTCCCAAACACGTCCTCATGGCACTATGTTCAGCTAAACAGAGGGACGACTTTACTATGAGATAAGCCTGTGTAAAAATATATTACAGCGACACTGTTTGAGGCAGAGGTCTCAATGTCTCTGTCTCTAATCGCTAACACAATTGGCTTTTGTGTGGTCTTGTCGAAGGTAATTGTAAACTCTTGTGTCTAAGGAAAGAAACGGCCATTAACACTGACATAGCGTAGAAGGAATGCTTTTTCCAACACCAAACGATGTAATGACGTGGATCTTGCGCAGAGTAGAAAGTGTGGTAAAAATATGAATATTTTAATTGCAGCATATACAGGCTAAAGGTAAAGCTATTCCGGTAACAGGCCATGGAGGCCCATAGGGTTGTGAGACGTCGAGGCTCTAACATTTTATAGACAATCAGGTCACAGATGGAGGTGAGATTGTCAGCTTCACACCCCGGCCGCCCTTTCAGTTCCCAGAGAATCCCACAGCTCGGGGCTTACCTGACGGTGTCAAGTCGAAACTCGGTGGGACCATATACTTTGATGTCTGTGTAGGTGGAGGTGAGCGTCACAGCTCCGTGTCCTTGGTTGAACACCAGCTGCTTGATCTGCAGGGGCTCGCAGGATGGGATTCCAAACTCGGGGATTCCTGGAAAATACTCCCGAGTTAACGCTCAGCAGCTATAGATTGACTCGTGTTATTTCGCGACGTTCTATCAACTGCAAACACAGCTGCCGAATATGTGGAGACTCAGAAGTAACCAGGATCTGAAGAAACTGTCAGGCACATACGCAAGAAGGTGGAGGCACGGGTTGAGATTACTGGAAGATAGGAGAGTGATTTACGAGAACTGAAAGTGAATAGATGGAGTCAACAGGTAAGCGGTAGAGGAGAATGGGCATCTGTCGAAAAGGTGGCCAAGGTCCTTACAGGACCATGCAGCAAGTGAGTGAGATTCTTACCTGTGGCGAGGTGTGATCTAAGTCCCTCCACGGAAGACATCACACACTCGTTAAGTTTGGGGTCGGACCGCCGGCACACTTTCAGGAAGTCGGCTGCAACACATGGGGACACACATAAACATGTCTGCCCGCTTGTAAAGAGAGCAAGCCTTGATGTCCGGCCAGTCAGTCTAAACACCTAATCACACTCATTAGTCTCAGTCTGAGATGCCGGAGAATATTTTAAGATTAAATTAATTGACTTCAAGCATTTAAGACACACTGGTTGTTGCTAGTGCCTGTGGATTGCGTCGCCTGTAGAAATGAACAGAGTGATGAGCAGGGCCCGGATTTTAATGACCTGAAAATATTTAAAAAATGACCGAAAAAATCCAGAAAAATGACCTAAAGGAGAAAAGAAAGAACACTTCGCTTCCATGTTATTCACATTTCAGAAAACATATGAAGAAAAATTCCCTAAAATGGCCAAAAATGACAAGAAATACCCTTAAATCCAAAAATTTACCAAAAAATTACCCCCAAAATGAAAAAATGCCCTTAAACCTAAAATTGTCAAAAATTGCCCATAAAATTTACATTTCTGTAACCAACAGCTCATATCCGAGATTTATATATTTAAGAGCATCCCATAGGATACAAGGAAAAAAAGTTGACATGTCATCAAAATCCGGGCCATGGTGATGAGTCAGGAAGGACGTAGGCACGTGACTAATGTTGGTAAGAGCCTCAGTCAAGTCCCAGCATCCAGACCGTCTCTGGGGCCTACCCAGCTTCTTGTCAGGGGGGGAGGGAGCAACCAGAGCATGAAACTCATAACGAGACTCGACATAGAATGCGTGGAGCTATACCTCCACTACACTGGGTATGACTAAGTGGCTTAATGGTTAGGTTACCAAAGTATTATTCGATCCCGCTTGTCTTATTATTAATATTTTGAAGCCAGAAGTTCAAAACCGGTAAATTTTCTGTTGGCCCTCTCCAGCCTGAATTAATCTGAAGAATGTTATATTTACAAATTCAGTTCGAACCCCGTCGCCATGGCAACAAGTTGCATAAATATGTGGCGTGAGAAGAATTGAGAGCGTTGAACGTAGTGGTGCAGTCAGTTACGAAGACGAGAACAGATCGGACGGCAAAGGCCAGTCTCCACGGGAGCACAGTCCTGCCGGCAGTGTACTCACGTATTTCCTCGGCGGTGGACGCCGCGACGCGGCCGAGCAGCAGAACGACGGCAGTCAGCACCAACGACTGCATGGGGAAGAGAGTTGTGTCCGAACAGTGGCGGTACTACCAGCAGCGGCTCTATTTATTGCGTGCCTGTCAGTGCTAGAGTGGCCTTAGTGCGCATGTTGCCTCGCACCGGCTCTTCCCCGTGCGGCAAGCAGTTGTGCAACATTCTGAGGTGTAACAGAAACAACTTGACTAACTTGAAGTTTGGAAGTCAAATTGAATGGTTCGGGTTTCTCGGTTGTAACTGCTGTGTAGTTCAGAGAGCTCGACGTTTCGGAGGAGTGTGTCGCCTTCATCTTCAGGATCGAAGAGTAAGCAAGTAAGAAGTCATAAAGAGCTGTTGATGCATGAGAAGGAAGTGCGCACAGAGTTTTGGTAGGAAAACCTGATGGAAAGGGAACACTAAGAAGATCTAAGCGTATATGGGATAATATTAATATTTATATTATGGAACTAGACTGAGAGGGCGTGGACCGGATTAATCTGGCACAAGATAAGAACGGCTATGAACCTTTTTGTTCCATGAATTTCTGGGAATTTGCTGAGCATCTGAGCAACTGCAAGATTCCCAAGAAAGACTCAGCTCCATACAGTTTGCTTGTTCATTTAAGGACAGTGCCATTGTCGGATGGTAGGGTGATTACTAAATACCGAACTGGAAAGGGTATCGGAGGAAGTGGTCGTGGCCTAATTTACGGCATTATTGGGTAATCTGCCCAGATCCTTAACACGAAGACGGAACGTGTGAGGCAGTCTAACACACCTACTCATGTTGAACCTACGGTAGACAGGCCTGAGCACATGTCATTTCTTCAGTTTGATTTAGGAAGATATCTTGGCAGAGGGCGGCCGTTATATGGTACATCTGTGCGTCTCTCTTCTATCTGTTGTTTGCAAAGCGAGAGAGAGTTATGCAAAAGAAGTCGCGAAATGTACCTTTGATAGGCCTCAGCACGGATAAATAAGAAAGTGAGATAACATTATTAACGTTTCTAAGTAAATCATCTGGAAGTGATGTAGGCGGAGCGAATGTAAAGCTCCATACATTCGTAATATCGGGAATTCGATGGACGTGGGCGTTTAGCTTCACCTTCCGACCGCCTTACCTCCGGAGAAAGCGGCGTTTTATACAGCACGCTTCTCGGGCTCCACTGCAAGTCGTGACAGCTGCAACAAAAGCCACGGGATCTGTACTCATCTCGCTGTGGTATCCCTGAATAAATAAACTGGCGCCCCAGAGAGGGAACAGTGGCTGTCTGCAGGACGGCTGTTGGAGTCAGCATGAATAGCTTCCCTGGTGTCTCTTTATGCAATTTATTGAGTAACCACCTCACAGAAAACACTAAGAATACCAACCCGTTAACAGGGCTTACTCGAACAGAATCTCTGTATTGTGAGAATCATTCGGAACCCGTACACGTGTCGGCAATACGCAGAACTTCTTAATGTTAAGGCAGGCGGTACATTGAAAGGGTTCAAATGAGTGGGTCTATATAGATGAAGAAATGTACAGGACGGAAATGAGAACGCGATTGCTCAGGCCCGAGTTGTGTCACATAGCGATTCCCTGGTGTCAGCAGTTTCCAGACAGCTGACTGCGCAATTCCGCCTTGCGTCTTCATGTCGTCATGGCAAAAGCGAGTCACCGAGAGGTGCCTGGGCCAAGCTGAAGCTTGGATCCTTCCGAGTTATCGAATGTGTTTGACACTGAGTGGACTCAACTGGCCCTGAATCGTATCCAGTGTTGACCTTCACGTAATAATATTTAAATGATGAAGTCGAAGAGGATGAGATGGGCAGGGCATGTAGCATAAATGGGGAGAAGAGGAATGCATATAGGGTATTGATGGGAAAGCCAGGAGGATAGAGACCACTCTGAACACCAAGAAGTAGGTGGGTGAATAATATTAAAATGAATCTTAGAGAGATAGAATGGGGTGGTAGGGACCGGATTGATTTGGCGGAAGGTAGGGACCGGTGGAGGGCTCTTGTGAGTACTGTAATGAACCTTAGGGTTCCATAATATTGTGCAAATTTCTTGAGTAGCTGCTTGACTGTCGGCTCCATGAAGTTAGTTTGTACCGGCTGAGGTCAGAGCCCAGAGGTTTTTTGAAACTTCGGGTTAGACTTATAAGAGACCGAAACTGAACTGCCTCTTCGTACCTCGGGCTGTCTAGCTTCGAATTGTAGCAAGGAAGTGATCGTGGCCTATCGAGGTACAGTCCCGGAATTTGCCTGGAGGGCCTGAGGAAAGTAACCAAAATCTCAATTAAAATAATCGGTGTCATGGCCGAGATTGGAACCGAGCACCTCCTGCACAGGAGTCTGCAGTGTACCACCTAGCCAATCCGCTCGGTGTAATGTTCGTCGAACATAGCTGAGTACTGTAAGAGTAAGTTTTATCAAAATCTGTCAAAAGGCTTAGACGATAGGCTGGCCGTAGATGTTTATATAATATCTGAAATCAGTGTTCTTTGAGCAACTGAGATCAAATCGAGAAATAAAACCCCTTCAGAAATATTTTATATGGGTCAAGCAAGCCATGTTTGTTCGAAATCGGTTCAGTAGTTCCGGGTCTGTTACGTGCCGACAGACGAAATGATATGACGAGATTCAAGAGTCATTTTCGATTAAAGAAAAGAAAACATCTAAAATCTTGAGGCGTAGAAATGTGGATCTGACTTAAGAAGTTTGTGCTAAGAGAGTTAAAACGCCAGCACTGTTATATTGAGCGAAATATCGTATGTAATGGCGTATCGAACTATAGGTCGCAAACCCCTAAGGTGCCGCAAACCTACCTTAATCGGAGTCCTGGAGCTCTCAGGAATTGTTTAACATATGTTCGAGTCCGCGTGCTGTGGCAAATTGGAAAATGTAGCAGCAGCTACAGCGAGTCGTTTCGCAAATTTCTTCATGACTGTAGAGGAACATTTTATAGCTTACTGTGGGTGCAGAGAGGCTGTGAAGCTATTTAGGTTCCTGCAGTCACCGTACAGCCTGATAGGGCCTGCATCAGTGTTCAGAACTGCACACTTCGCTGACTCAGAGAGTTGGGGATTCGCATAAATGAGTGGGGTCGTGTACCTCACAGTGTGAGCCCCTTCCTCTACTGCATCGTCATTTATTTAAATTATTTTATTATGGAATGCTTGCCAAGAGTAGTGCTCAATTACAGGCAAAATATTTAAAATAACGAATAGAAAATGAAATAAAAAATAGAAACAAAAAAAATTAACGAGTATTGTACCAGGGAAAGATATCCACCAATGAACTCGTATTCCTGTCAACAGGAAACACTCTGATACATGCTTTTAGCGGTGTTGGCAGACCTGGCTCGAGGAATAGACCCATGCAGTACTGCTGGTAGTAACATGGAGGAAATTGGCCGCGCCATAGCTCAAGCGGTTAGTCGTTGGCATCCCACCGCGGCTCGATCCCGGGTCTGGTCAAATGGGATTTTCGGTGAACAAAGTGGCGCTGGGGCAGGATTTCTCCGAGTACTTCGGTTTCCCCTGCCAATCTTCATTCCACCAATTGCTCCACAATCACCCTCACCTATCAACTGGAGCTGGTACAATAGGCCAGAAGTGGCCGCAGTACAAGGGACTTAGTCCCACCCCACTAACATTAAAAAAAATCATGGATGAATCCTTAATTTTGTAGTGGGTACATGAAAACTGACAATATCAATTGTAGAGTGATTCATTATTTTTTCCCAAGAGAGAAATATAAAACAATAATAATAATAATTCCGTTCAATTATGTGCAACTTAATAATAATAATAACAATAATAACTTTATTCATCAAAGTAACCAACTCCAGTGAGCGGATGCTCACTTCACATACAAATACTTGCTGAGCTACGCAAGAAATGTCCCACATTTTATGGAGCCCGAAAGTTCTTTACAGTATTCACAATAGCCAATTTGTTCTGCCCTAAGCCATACGAGTCCAGCATAAGCCCTCACATCCTAGTACTGTAAGATCCACTTTACTGTAGCTTAAATCCGAACATCGCGGTCGAGGGGGTAGAACTCCCACTTGTATATGGTTGGACCCGGGCAGACATACTTGTACAGTGTCCGGCTGTTCTGTCTTCATGGGTTCGCGCCGGCCTCTCCAGAATGTGCAGAGCTGGACCTCAAACTGGGCCACGGCGTCTTGCTCGCACATCCGTTGCATCACTCTGAAGAGTCGGAATAGCGCAGTCGGTACGGGCTGGACGACCGGGGTTCGCAGTTCGAGTGCCGGTGTGATCAAGAATTTCTCCACGTCGTCCAGCCCGGCTCGTGGTTCACCCAGTCTCCTACCCAGTGGGTACTGAGGGCTCTTTCCCTGGTGATAAAGAGGCCGGGGCGTGAAGCCGGCCACTCACCTCCAACTAGTGCCAAGGTCGAGAGAATGTAGATCTGTACTTGATTCCCCCATACGCCTTCATGGCGTAGTGCTTAAATAAGCACAGGGACACTATCTCTCAAGGTCATGCTGTCTGAGCTGCTGATAGAGAAATATGATATGAACCTTAACACTTTTGGTGGTGTTATGGTGGCAATGTCTATCTTGAGTGAATATGCTAGAAATTCATTCGGGTTGTGTTCCTTCCAAGAAATATATTTTCTTCGTACACATTAACGCATAACACACTAATTCATTTCATACTGTACCGAGTATCGTATAGTAGTTTGTTCGGGCAATTATAATTTCTTCAAATCATGAAACCAGATTGTAACCACGGACTAACGAAATCGGATATTTGAATGCTGGCATGCTGAAATTCATCCATTACATTTTATTTAATTCAGACATAATATTTATTCTAATTCTTTTAAAATATTTGTTAAAGTTATATGTTTTAAAAGGCATACCTGCATTTTTTCAGTGACACGGAAAATTGTAATTATGACGTATATTGCCCTGGAACAGAGTTTTATTTTACGTTATACGGATTTTTGAGATTTAGATGTTGGTGTCACTGCTAAGTTATGCATTTGTTTTCCTAGTTTCCTGTTCCGCATTTCAAAATGCCGCCAAGTAAGGAGATATATTCCAAAGAAAGTTCGCCGGCGTATTAGCATAGTTGTTAGAAGAGAAGTGTAATGAAATTTGGAGGGGGGAAGTGAAGGAAATTAAATGCTAAATAATGCAAATGCAAGTGTGTATAAACAGAAATTTAATTGGGTGTCTGAGAAAACCTAACTTCCTTTCCAACATGTGTGCATGTAAATACTGTGAATATTAATAGTTTTTTTCTGAAGGACTTGAATATTAGTGCCAGTATGAGAGAACATTATGTGAATGACTTAAGTGATGTAAATACAAATGAAGCGGGAAACATTAATTTATATCTGTTGTGTACATTAGAATGTAGATACACAAATTTCGAGGATGTGGTGATATGCTTTGTGACATTCATCTAAAGGGAACGGGAATTATACGCCATTAAGAAATATGTACGGGATACAACTTCTGTGCCCACATAGTAACTATAAATGGTCCATATGAAAATAACGTTTATTTAGTGTATGGAAGAAGGTCTGTAGGTAAAGTGTAACATCAGTTCACCTTTGTGTTATAGTGAACGTTCCTCTGTCATCAAGATTTTAGTAACTAACTCCATGGAGCTCAGTCCTTGAGAATCCACCAGTCACTCAGCTTATCAATATTTTACAGTGACAATAGAGCACAATTAGACATCTTACGGTTAATTGGAATAATATGAAAGAAGTGACTTCCCTCTCTGTTCTTTTGTGCTGAGCCCCTAGGGCCTGTTGTGAGTGTCATGGCTGGTTCAACCATCTAATAGCAACCAATTTTCGTAAATTCCCTATAGACG